GATAGATTCATGAACAGATACACAGGCTGACTGGATATGGGAAGGAGAGTGGGAGTATACCAACTAATATACAAGGGTTTGACAGACGACAAATATACACAGGTACAAACACACCTATGAATGTGGTGAAGCACAGAAGGGGGGAAATAATGAAAACGTCTTAGATATTACCAAACATGCCAAGGGAATGATTTGCTGCGCCTGTGGGCCCATGACCATAGTCTCAGGGACACCCGGTCAACTGGCATAACATACTCCACAAAGACAATCCTACTTTGGTGAGTAGCAACTGGGATCGTAAAAGTTCATGAATAGCCATCTAAGGTGCAACTACTGGTCTCTCTACACACAGAAGAGTGATAAAAAAAAATGAAGATGCTTGGAATCAGTCCAAGCTTGGACCAATGGAACATCTGAACATCAGTCACGATGATTCTGAGACCAGAAGAAATAGATGGTGCCTGGCTACTACTACCAACTATTCTGAAATGGATTACAATAGAAGGTCCTGCAAAGAGTGAGAGAAAATGTAGAACAAAACTCAGTACTATAAATTCGTTTAAAAAAACAAAAAACAGGGCATACTGTTCAGAAAGAGACTGGAGGAACCTGAGACTATGGCCCTCAACAACCCTTCAGGTCTGGAATGAAACTCACCCTCATGGCCCAGGTTTCAGCCAAGCAGTAGATACATATATCAAGGGGACAACACTAACTAGGTTATGCTCACCATAGAATGGACAACCTTCTCAAGATCAAAAGGGCAACGTTACCTAATGATAAGGTTGAAAAGGGATGGGAAGGAGGGTGGAATGGAAATAACTGTCGTTACAAGGAGGGGACTACATCATTGAGATGAAACAAAATGTAGAATCTGTTGAATATAAAACTGATGATTGTCTCTGTACACCTTTGCTCAGTTCACAGCAGTAAGTTTTAATATGTATAAAAAAGGATCTGTAACATATGGAAGAATCTATGCTATTAGTACTTTAAAGGAGTTTTCAAAAGTGAAAGTCTATAGAGATTATAATGGAGGAAGTATAGTAATCAATGTCTCTATACTCTGACCAAAACTAAAAGCCAAACCAATGCCATCAAGTCAGTTTCCACTCATAGTAACCATATATAGAGTTCTCAATACTGCAAATATTTATGGGCCCATCTTTCTCTGGCAGAGCAGGTGGTGACTTTGAACCTCATCCTGTGGTTAGCAGTCCTGGGCTATTCTACAGCACCACGAGGATTCTTTCTGTACTTTGTCAACACAGGCAAAACAAAACCATCAAAAAGTGAGGATGGAAGAAAATCCGCAGCATACACAAATAAAATTAGCTTGCTGACTGCCTAATTGGAAGATAAAAGGTTTGTGTTTGTTTGTTCCAAATTGGATACTGGGAGAGAAAAATGTGAGGGAAAGAAAATTACAAACTAATTTCCTGATGTTCTAGTAGAGAACCAATTAAAAAATAGCCACAAATATTGGATACAAAACAACATACAAATTATCATATTTCTTTTACTAACAAAGAGAGCTCTGGAAGGAAATCAGAAAAATACCATTTGCAATAGCCACCATATTGGTGATCATTAGCCATTGTAGTTGTTAAGTGCCATCAAATCAGTTCCAGTTCATGGCAACCCTGTAAAGGGTTTTCTAAGAAACAGCTGGTGGATTTGAACCACTAACATAACAGTTAGCAGTCCAGTGCTTATCCTAGAGTGCCCCACCATGATCAAAACAACAATGAGATATCATCTCACACCAGCATTATTAGCAAAGTTCAAAAAGACAACTAATGCTAGCAAGGGTGTGGAAAGACTGGAACCTTCAGGCACTGCTGGCAGCCTGTAAAATGGTACAACCACTGTGTCAAATGGTATGGCCCTTCCTCAAAAAAAAAAGTTGGAAATAGAAATACTATAAGACCCAGAAACCTCTCTACTGGTAATACAGCCTAGAGAAATTAAGATCCAAGACAAAAAAATACATATGCATACCAACATTCATTGAAGCACTGTTCACAATAGTAAAAAATGGAAACCACCTAACTGTCCATCAATTTAAGAATACAATAAACTAAGGTACATGCACACAAGAATACTAGGCAAATGGGTTTTCCATTAAATTTATACATACTGTGTGTGTGTGTGGCATGGATTTGTAATCCCACTTCTTCCATGTTTACCATTTCCATCCATTCTTCTTTCCTAGTGCTTCCTGTCTTCTGAGTGTTACACCTGGGAAAATGCTGCCCCTCCCATCTCATATGGCTGACTTTTCTAACAACTGCATACCTCTCTGTTGTTATTGTTCACCTTCCAGACCTATCACTTGGTAAAGATGATTCTCAATCAGACAATCATCTGGTTTACTACACAGGGAATGGCAGACTGAAGAATGGCATCATCACATTCCTCATCAAAAAGAATATTTCAAGATGTATTTTGCAGTACAATGCTGTGAGCGATAGGATAATATCAATAAGCCTATAATGAAAACCAGATAAAACGACTATTATTCAAGTTTACAGAGAGAGAAAAGAGGAAGGGCTACCTGGTCTGAAATTCACGAAGATGTGTGAACGCCTAACTTTCAGTAGATTTGAAATTATTTCAAAATAAAAAACACAAATATTCATAAAGAAAGTTTGATTATGAGCAGTGAAACTGGAATTTGTGAAATAGTCTCTGAAAATCACGTAGCTTCATGCCTCCTTTCAGTAGAGAAGCTTTATCTTTGGGTCACGTGGTCCCGCCTCCCAGCACATGGGGCTCCCAAGTTGGTCCTTCAGGTTTATCAGAGAATACTAGGCTAACAGGAAGATATTTATATGGTATAAAAATCACTCTTTATGACACGGTCTACAAATCATCAGTGCCCACTATTAATAGTTCAAAGTTTATTTTTCCTTTTAGGATTTAGTGCTAGAAAAGGTACTTTTACCTGAAAAACAATGATTTCTCTTTCTTTCTGATGACAGGAGTTACATAAATGATAATGTCTCTCTTTCAATTTTGTCAGACAGAAAGACTAACTGCAAAGGTAAGGCCCCATGATAGGAACCAATGACCTCAAGTTTATGGTGACTTTCCACGCCGATTCTTTTCTTTGGTTCCTGTTATTTTATACCTATATTTTATCATATAATAGTCTATTTTGAGGTAACACTCAACCTAGAAAACAGTATTAGTGCTCAACGAGAAATAGTCACAGAAGAACTACTAGCACAATATTCTTAAGTTATGTTTCAGAGTGAACAAAATTACATTTATCATTTATTTTAAAAGGTCAAAAATGAACATCACATTTTAGATATTTATAACAAGAATGATGAGAAGGTTCCCAGCTTATGAATATTACAGGCATGACAAACCTTGTAGGTATTACTTTGTTGCTACTATCAAGAAATCCTTTGTATTTCAATTCTTTCTACAAGTCTAAAAATAAAAAAGCAAAATTCTTACATACAAATATGGGAATAAAAAATACTTTTACCTGGTGTCCTCAATCTTGACACAAGGGGAGTGGGGTGAGGTGGATTTAATACTGCATTTATAGAACTAAGATGGAAATGAGCTAACAGAGCGAACAGTTTATCCCAAGGGTTTAATTTTCTATAGCAATTTTGCCTTGTGTTTTGAGTAGCAAAGTAACTTCTTAAAATAGTTAACTACACAATTTCTGGTACAATGTATATTTCAGAAAGAATTAACATAAACAAAAAGGCAGGGTTTTGGAGGATTTTTGGTTTTGTTTTTTGCTGTTTTCTTCCAGCTTGTAACCACTACTGGTCGCTTCGGCAGCAAAATAAAAAAACAATCAGGAGATGGACTGTAGCAAATTGAAGAAGACACCCCCACAAGGTTGCCAAGGAAACCAAAACCAAGTGCATTTTTTCTACAGAAAAGAATCACTGCTAAGGTGAACATATCATGGAATATTTTGTGGCAAAGATGATTAACACCCCTACTTGAAAAGTCTTGAAGTGGCTAAATTTAATTCTAGACTATTTCATTAGGCACTTCACCCATAATGCAAGATGGCAAGCTTGAATTTCTAAGCTATCTACCAGCACTGGAGATTCAGCAATCACTTTTCTAAAATCAGCTGAGCTGGAGCAATTCAAAGTACCAAAAAATTTCCTCAGGTCTCTTTTGCAGATCCTAACAAACATTAAATCAATCACACCACAAAAAGTTTTTAAAAATAAAAAACCAAACTATTCTACCAATAAGCATTCCCAAATTTAGATTTTGTTCTTCAAAACAGAGTTTGTTTTTTTTTTAAAACCAAATGGTTTTTATTAAACTAAAAAGTGAATCTCTGTAAACTAAAGCAAGAGTTTAGCAACAATTTATCTTCTGGATGATCATTGGTCAAGAGCAGGGCGAGCAATAAAAGCTATCAAGTAGTTAGGTCCACATAAATATCTCCATAAGTAGGTGTGCAGAGAGCATAGAATCAGTTAAGAACGTCAGACCCAAAAGTAACGTGAAAAGGATCTGCAGTAATTTAGAGTTAAATAAACTGGTACTCGGGCAATGGTGCGATGCTAGCTAGCATGCTAGCGATGGGACCGGCGTTCAAGCGCAGGACCCAGAGCACTGAGGAAGAAGTGGGCGGCTTAGAGAATCGGGACAGATTGGTATGGGGCGCAATGCCACTCCCTCAATTCTTTATCGTTCCTCAAAGTGAATGACCTTTTCGCGTGGCCCTGGAAATGCATTCTAGTTAAAGGTCGACTATTTGAGGACAGAGAAGGAACTGTGCAGGGCAGGAGGAATGACCCAGCCTGTCCCGGCACAGGTAACTGGAGGAAGTGAGGACCCTGATGCAAGCGAGGAGGTGGGATGCCACGGGCTGCGGGGTCAGCGAGAGGCGCAACCTGGCCGCGGTTGGATGCCAGGAGCCCTGGGGCATAGGGACCGCCGAGTGGCAGGGACAGGACGTTGCCGGCCGGACAGGATACAGGGATACGGACCGTGCGGGCTCTTACCCGGTGCCACAGTCCACCACGCAGGGAGGCAAGGAGCACGCCATGCTTGGGAGCGGCGGGCGCGCCCCGCTTGGCCCCACCAGCTGGCGGCCGGGAGTGCAGCACCTGACAGCTCAGGCGCTCCGGTACCCACCCGCAGCGGTGCGCTGGGGGCCCGGATGCTCTGCGCGTACCACGTGACCCTACTCCGTCTCGGCCTCACCCGGCGCGGGGACGCCCCGCCCTCACCAGGCGCCATCTTTAGTACTGGCAGAGAGAGGGTTTTTTTGGGGTGGGGGTCGGGGGCTTGCCCATACCCGAGGGTGGTGGGAAATAGTGGACTGGAGAGATTAGTGTTTATTTTTAACTGATTTACGGTGAAGATGACCCTGCTTTCGAAACTTGGCTCCTTTCATCCTTTAAGTCTCAGCTAAAAAGTCACAACTCAGCTCAGAGTTGTCCATGAGGCCTCCTCACACATTATTCTCTAGCTTAGCCATCTATTGGTCTCATTCACAGCACTTAGCTCAAACCTTTTATATTCATTGATTTGCTGTCTGTTTCCCCCACTGTACGATAGAACCGGTCCCATGTATAATTACCTGAATACTTAAACCTTAGCACAACATTTGTTGCATACATAGAAAGTCCCATAAAAAAAAAAAAAACAACTAATAGTATTATGCCTAATAGAACACTGCATAATTTCTTCTATGGAAGACAAATCTTTAAAGCATATACCTGACCAACCTTAAAAACGTAATGAACTTAGGTTAACACCACACCACCTAGACAAGATTATTACCAAAAGTGGTGTATCATCTAAAAGTTCAGACCACAATTAGGGACCAAAGTAAACAAGCTATAATCTATTAAATTATGGGGGCAATAAAAGTCTGTTCCCTTGTCCTATCTTAACTTCTTGACATTAATCTTTAGGAACTTACTCAAGACATAGAGTCTCATGTAGTTTTAACTAATGCTTAAAGCATTAATGTTACCTTTCTAGGATCAGTCACGTTATCATTTTTTTTTTTTTTACCTAAAAGAATCAAATATGACCCAGACTTAAAAAATGTTCACGAGAATTGAAGAGAGGAGTGCAAAATGAAAGGAAAACGAGAGATTAGATGTGTAGGACAATACTAACATAAGACCCAAAGCAGTAGACAAAAGATTGAGTTGGTTACTTTGTGGTTTGCCAAGACCTTATGCAGCTCCCATGTTTTAACAGCAATGGTCAGAAAGTGTCAACTAAACGCTAGGGTTGCAGCGTGTTGGTTTGTCACCACCTTTATTTTCAGTTAGTCACTTATACACATACATACTTACATGTACGTGTGTACATACTTGTATGTTCCTGTGTCAGATACTGTGTTAGACACTAAGAATGCAACAGTAAGCTTAATGGTCACAGGCTCAACTCTCAAAACCTTGGTATCTAGTGGAGGACAGTGGCAATAAGACTATGTTAAGTGATAAGTTAGGCTGAGTGTGGGGTGCCCAGAAAGCTTCTCAAAGCAATGGTTGTTGTTGTTTTGCTCCGTGGAGTCCGTTCCAACTCATCGCAACCCTGTACAGGGTTTCTGAGGCTTTAAATCTTTACGGGAGCAGAAAGCCTCATCTTTCTCCCACGGAACAGCTGGTAGTTTCGAACTGCTGATTTTGCGGTTCGCAGCCCAATTCGTAACCACTACGCTACCAGAGCTCCTTCAGAGCAATGGTATCTGAATTGAAATCCAAAGAATAGCTGACTATTGGACAGTGTAGGATGGGAGAATATTTCTGACTGAAAAACAATATGTACAAAAGCCAGGAAGACCTCTACACTCATCTATGGCCCGCCACTTCACCAGAGAAGAAGCCTTTATAGGACTCCAGGTATGGCGCTGTAGGATAATCACTGGCCTGCTAATCACAAAGTCAGTAGTTCAAATCCACCATCTGCTCCTCGAAAACAGTATAGAGGGTTGCTATGACTTAATAGCACTTAGCAACAAGAACAACGATAAGAAATAGTTGCCTTGTGGAGAGTGTCTCCTTTGTATAGAATTTACTGGAAATGATGACTATACAGATGCAGCTATCAGAAATAAAATATCAGAGACTCTGACTGCAGTTCTTTCTTACAGATACCAATCTTGATGTATCATTTCAGATTATGTTATTGTTATGCATTTAACATAAAAGCTAGTCAAAAGTGACAAAAGTAGTGAGGACATTTTGTCATCTCTTTTAATAGGGAACCCAGTAATTCCAGGATAACTCAACAACTCAATGACATCATTATGTATCTATACAATCTGTTCTTCCAACCTCAGTTGGTTGACATTTGTACGTGTACTGATGACTGACTGGAAGGACACAGTGGTGTCAAACCTTTGTAGCTAAGTGATGGCTGAGGCAGCTCCATGTACCACAACCACAATGTACAAAACCTGGAAAAAGAAATGCCCTGTTTTGGTTACATTTCCAAGAGGGAGAGAACAGCTTTTCGGGATGTCCCCCACAGCTTCCCCTGGTGTTTCGTTGTTGTTGTTGTTGTTATGTGCCGTGGAGTCGGTTCCGACTCATAGTGACCCTGTACAGGGTTTCCAAGGCTGTAAATCTTTATGGGAGCAGAAAGCCTCATCAACCGGTCTTTAATAAGACCAGTCACTGGACAGGGAACTCATGTACAATGGTTGATTTAGAATATTGAAGACAACCTCTGACTGGAGAAGGCCTTCGTGTCCTTTAAATCTTATGGCTGCTGAGACCCGACTCAGAATGGTTTTGATCAGTAAGAAGGAAAATGGCTATTGGTAGGCAGCAAATAATTTCTGCTTCACTCATAATATTTCTAATTTAGCAAAATGTCTAGTGTCCCTATGCTTTCTCAGATGGTAACTGCTTGGAATTGTCACACGAAACAACTCATCCTTGTTGCTTAGCTTGAGCTTTACCGTCTCTGAGAAACGTTCCTTTAACTTCAGACATAGCCTACACCCTCCCACCTCTGTGGTCACAGCGATCATGTCCATCCTTCCGCTTCAGCACGTATTTGATCACCTCATAGTTGGTCCATAACTTCCAGTAGACAGGAGCTCCCTAGGGTAGTTTATATCTGTCTCATATAATTTTTAATCTCCAGTTCATGGGACACTACCTGGCATCTTAAAGCCAATCAGAAATACTTATTAAATAAATGAAAGCCATTCAGCAGTTTTTCAACTTTCATATTACTCAGAAGGAGTCCTGGTGTGAAATTTTAGGATAAGCCCTGGACTGTTAACCATAAGGTTGGCGGTTGGAATCCACCAGCCGCTCCTTGGAAGCCCTATACAGGGTCACTATGAGTCGAAAACAACTCATCAGCACTTAACAACATTACTCATAACTCCTGCTTTTATTTTCTTTTTAATCTTTCTTCATCATCAAAAACACACTAAAGTGAATGTTTCATATAATATCTCGTCTGAATGTTTTTGCACTTTTTTCTATGAATTTTCAACACATTTTTTGTTATTTTTCTTAGTTGTAAACTCCTATGGATCAGAAACTGATTATATACTTTTTATATCTACAGGAAAATAATCCTCACACTCTGTAAGAAGTACTTCAGGTACAATCTCTATTATTTACATTGCTAAGTAGATTTGCTTCCACCACTATCCGCTGAAAATTCTCACTACTAAATGCATCCCCATATTAACCAAGGATTTCCCCCTCATCATGTCTCACTGATTTGTGTCCTGTGTTCTATTTACAACAAGTGGAAACTTTTAGTCAATTTTTTTTAGCAGGAAGAATCATCTATTTAGTGTGCTTCTATCCAAACATGCCCTCCTCCACCAACCATATCCCAACAGATAGGAACACTTCCTGTCTAGAAGTTAGCCTCTCCTCAACATCAGGTGGTAGTCTGGTTTTAGAACTACTTTACTAAGTACTGCATCATCCCAGCACTGCACTCAAAGGAGCATCTAATAAGCAGTTTTTGATGTGGTAATGATGCATATTTAAGCATATGAAGACCACTTTAAAACAAAATAACCAGGGCTTAGAAACTATCCATCTAATGATATTTAGTCAGTGACAACTCAGACAACACAATCTTAATTTTCTTATGTGACCAGTTGAATAGGGCCAAGAAGCTAAAAAGAAGACAAAAGCTTAAAGTCTGTCTTCAAAACTGCCCAACCAGCAGCTCTGTGAATCTTAAATCTCAGAGTTGTGAGCAGGAGTAATTTGTGTGCTCTCTGTTACCATGAGGATGCAAACAGAGAAAATAGTACCAGAAAAATTAGTACCCCACTTCTTTCTAGAGAGCTGGCATTCTCTTGAAGAGGAAGAGCCTGCCACAGCACTCAGTAGATTCCTCTGATGTCTTGGCAACAGCAAGAAAAAAGGATCCAAATTAGAATTGATTGACAGGAAAGTGTTTAATGTGTCATAGAACTAATAACAGACCAAGAAGCACAAAACTGAACATATTCGGGTAAACTCTACCATGTTTCTGTTTCTGTTAATAGCAAGTAGTCAGACTAGAAATTTCATGAGAGATGACTTCTTCTGGCTCCCCTCCCACACCAGTCGGCAGCCAGGTCCTGTTCATTGGTTCCCACCACACTCCTCTGCTTTTCAATCCCACAGTTGCTCTTGGTAAACTATTCAGGAGCTTCCCACTTGCCACCCAGTCTCTATAGGCCTCCCCAACAGATCTTTTGGGCACACTATATATCCATGAGAGAGATCACTACAAAATTTAAAAATTTTGAATATTGTGTCAATCTTCTGGCTCCAAAAGCTTCAATGATACCCTATTACTTATGATATTTAATCCAAGTTCTTATTATGTAACTAGTCATGATCCTCTATGGCCGGCCCTCAAGTCACCTTTTTAATCTCATCTCACATTTCATCCCTTGACACATTTGGGCAAACATGAGCACACAGTGTCCTCCAAATCATCAGCATTCATGAAGCTCCTTCCACCGAAAGCATCCTTCTTTTCCTGTCTTACCCTCTTCACTCCATTGACAGAACACTCATGCTTCTAATTACGATTCATATCCACTTCTTTCGTTAATTCAACGAATTAGGCTGAGTGTTCCTTA